CTGTTGGAGAGGCAGGCAGAAAGTGAAGACAAGACTTCAGAAGTGGCAGGACTCTGCAGAGGAAAGGAAAAAAAAGGCTTGGAGCCCAGACTTTGCAAACTTGTGAAAGGTGGGCCTGCTGTGTTACCCGCCATGCCTGCAGAGTTCACCTAGTCCAGGACCTTCTGACTATTCTCATGGAGGCTGTTGCCTGGCAAGAGCTGCAGGGAAGATGAGGTGCAGCAGAGACTCACTGGGCTTAAGCCACAGCCCAGCCCCCCCTTCACTTTCCCATTTTCCTCTGAGACAGTTGCTCCTCTGTCTGCACCTGCCCCTGACACCAAGGCTGACAGGCCAAAATTCTTCAACTGTGGATCTCATTAAAGATTACAGGTATTTCCTGCATCTTGTATAGCTGTAGGTAGTCTAGAAATAACTGAAAACTGCTGCAAAATCTACATAATCTTGGATTCGAGCCCTAATTTTTCTTAACCCTTTCCCTCCTAGGCTGCTTTACAAACCTCTCCAGAGCCCCTTAGATCCCAGTGGACCACAGTGCCATCCTGTGGCCAATAAGTGAAGTTTCATCATTGCTTCTGCAATGGCCCAAGGGATGCTGGGAAGTGTCTGCAGAGTGAGCAGAGACACTATTCTAGAAATGCCATCTTGCATGTTTTATTAGCTACTTCCGTAAACCCCAATCCCAACATTAGTTTTAACCCTGACTGTTCCTTTGAGTTATCAAGCTTAACATCCCATCCTCATTCTAAATAATTCTTAACCCGTAGCTGCAGTTACAGTCTCACTGAATTTTCTCCCTTAAAACTATCTAAAGAGACAGGAATAGAATAGGAAGAATGGAAGGAAATAGTGTTTACTCTAAAGCAGGAATACAATACAGAAAGTGAAGTGTAACGTTATTTCATTTCCATTACCAAAGATAAACAAACGTTCCCCAAATGACAATGCTACCATAAAAATAAAGATTAGCAAAAGACTAAGCAGATAATGTGATGACCTTCAAGATGGGGTCAGATATGTATTAATAAGAAGCAAAACTGGCATATATGAAATAGGATCCCTTGGCCGGGCGTGGTGGCTCACACGTGTAATCCCAGCCCTTTGGGAGGCCAAGGCGGGCAGATCACGAGGTCAGGAGATTGAGACAATCCTGGCTAACACAGTGAAACCCTGTATCTAGTAAGAAATACAAAACATCAGCCAGGTGTGGTGGCGGGCACATGTAGTCCCAGCTACTCAGGAGGCTGAGGCAGGAGAATGGCGTGAACCCTGGAGGCGGAGCTTGCAGTGAGCCGAGATCGCGCCTCTGTACTCCAGCCTGAGCGACAGAGTGAGACTCCATCTCGGGGGAAAGACAAAAAAAAAAAAAAATCCCTTGAAAGGCAATAAACAATCGTGGAAGGAGCAGTATCTAATGGGAAAATAAGGCTGGATATAATTAAGACCAGCAAAAGGCCCACAACAGGAAAGGAATAGCTTGTACCATGCACATGTGCTGATCTAAAGAGCAGAGAGGGAGGAGATGATTCTGGAAGAGGTACTGGAGTGGCGTGAGATGAGGGTACGCTGCTGCAAAATAGCATCATACGGAAGCAAATCAGCCAGGGAACTGGGGATTATATGACCTTTCTATCCACCGTCTTCTGTGACAGACCAGAGGGACCATTTCCCTTTTCAGTGACTTGCTCTACAGCCCTTGCTCCATCCCAGGGAAAGGCTCCCAGAATTTCTCTCCTCAGGTTCTCATGGACCAACTCTTATTCTTTCGTCGTTGAGCAGAGTCTAAAGGGGAGGTAATCTCTTCGTGCCCTGAAGTCCCACAGTAACTGGCATAGTCCTCTCTCGTGGCTTGATCACAGGCCCCCAAGTCTGTGCCTTTTCATTTCCAGTAGATTGAAAGTTAGGTGTGAGTCATGAACCTTGAACAATGCCTTTATCATAGAGCATGTAAGTGACTGTTTTCAAAATCATTGCTGTTTCTTTCACTGCCTCAGATTATATCTGAACAGAAAAGATGCATAATTGGAATGATTTCTTAAATGAATTTAAACACAAAAATCTTTCACAGTGCCATAAATAATGCAACCAAAATAATTGTTCTCCTAAATGGTGACATTGTAGAGGGAAACAAAAAGCAAATAAAATTATATCAAGTATTTGAGAGGAGCCTCAGAAACCCAATCCTTCTTATACAAACATCACCATATGGCCTCCCTCTACCTGACAGACAACAGAGCCACACTCATGCCCTGCACCTGGCAGAAAAGCCTTGCTGGAGCCTGTAGAGAGCTGGTGAGGAGGAGCCTTGGTGATTCTGCCCCAGAGCAGAGATTCTCTGGGAGCTCTGGATGACCTCCAGGGACTGAGATGGACAGGGGCTGTACTATGTATTGGAGAGGAAGACATTTAGGGTGAGTGTGATTTTTCTGACCTCTCAGCTGAAAACAGATCCAAGGTCATTGGTGACTGGTGTGGAGCTGCTTAGTTTCCAAAGCAAATTAGTCCATGCCCCAGGGTGTGTCTGTGCCACTGAAGAATTTTCTGGCTGTAAAGTGGTTCACAACCCAGAGCTGCTGCTTGCCCCATCCCTGTTCCCAATGACTGCAGCATCTACATATTCCATGCAAGGAAGGATAATGTGAAAATAATAAACTGGTTCACTGTATCCTTTAGCTACACTCAAAATAGTTGTCATGTTCTGGACTGGTGTGCTTACAGGAGACACGGACCCACAAAGTAAGGGAATTTGGAGATTGAATAGAAATAGTGTCAGCTGAGGTCACCTTCGATCATGGTTTCTAAAAGCAAGAACAGAGAAGAGGTGAATTCGGTGTCCTTTTGGCCCCGCAAGACATGACGACGTAACAGGAACATCATTTTCTCAGAAAACATTCCAGTGATGTGCTGGAAAACTGAGTGTCTGTGGAGGTGGGCACGTGCCTAGTAGCACTTACCAATTTCTGTTGTATCAACAAAGGCACTATGGTGGATTTCAAACTATCAACATGGCTTCACTGAAGGGAAGAGTGTGCCTATTTGTCTCTCGCGAGTCAGAAAAGCTGGCTTCAGCACATCACTGGACTCCGAAGCACAACTTTCAAAGCTCTTCAGTGCTTAATACTCAACTCCTAGAAATGAGGCATCAGCAACAATATCGAAGCCCATTGTTTTCATAATAGCATGAGAGTGTGACCCTGGGTCTTCGGGTGGACAAAGGAAAGTTTGAGCCCAGAAAGGATTGAAGAGTTCCCCGAAGTTAGTTGTTCAGAGTGCAGAGCTCTCAGGGTTGTGCTGGCTGATTTGGAAGCTTCTAGACTTTGATTTGAAATACTTTTATTGACATGCTCCTTTTTTAGCTCGAAGAGATTAGTTACATTCATTTAGAGCAGGGTCTTTATTGCTTCTTGTTTGCTTATTAATACAACCTTCCCTTTGCTATCCTTGTATGTTCACTCTCAGTGCAGGTGGGAAACCTTGCCCACCTTTTTTTACCACTTCTTTCAGCATCAGTGTTTACAGTTGTGGTTAGTATTCTGTTCAAGCTTAAGTTTCAGAGCTGGTCCACTATTAGGACCATTTGTCTTAGGGGTCATGCGGATAAAGGTGGGAAAAGTTGGAGACAGGGTCCAGCAAGGAAGTCCTTGGAATAGCATCCTAAGGTCAGGGAATTCCCATCTGTGCCTGGGACTTATGCACTCCCAGGACACACAGGGCAACTAAAAAAAAGGAATGATCTATTGATGAAACAATTACAATGGGTTCAGAACAATCCCTGCCAACCATTATCATTTGCTAGAGAAAGAAATTTGGTATCTGAGCCACCACAATTCCTGATAAGTGAATTTAAGGATCTATAATTCCCCAACCAGCTCTGCAGGACTCAGGGCACCTCTGTCCTGGCTGGGTCTGGGGTATTCTATCTTAACCTTTGTGTATGGGGCTGTCTCTGAGGACTCCCAGAAACCCATGATCCATAATCATGTCAGCTCTAACCACATCTTGAAATTTCATATATGTGAACTGTAGCTCACTCGAAGAGAGGTGAAGAATTTTTATTACAATATACTTATTTATATTTGCAACAAAAACTATATTGCAATATGTAAAATAACAAACAAAACAAAAGTAATATAAGCATTATTATTTTTAAAACTCCATCTTCTTGAGTTAAAGACCTCAGGGAAATTATTTCAAATCAAAAGACTAGAGCAACAATCATCAGAGGCTGGGGTGGAGATGGGGTGCTGGGGAGATGTTGGTTAAAGGATACAAAATTTCACTCAAATAGGAGGAGGAAGTTCAAAAGATCTATTGTACACCACAGTGACTAGAGTTAGTAACAGTGGATTGCATTCTGGAATATTGCTAACAGAGTACATTTCAAGTATTCTCACCACAGGAAAGGATAAGGATTGAGGTACTGCATATGTTAATTAGCTAGATTTAGTCGCTGCACCATGTACATACTTTTTTATTTTTTATTTTTTTGAGACAGAGTCTTGCTCTGTCGCCCAGGCTGGAGCGCAGTGGTGCCATCTCAGCTCGCTGCAAGCTCCTCCTCCTGGGTTCACTCCATTCTCCTGCCTCAGCCTCCCAAGTAGCTGGGACTACAGGTGCCTGCCTCTACACCTGGCTAATTTTTTGTATTTTTAGTAGAGACGGGGTTTCACCGTGTTAGCCAGGATGGTCTCAGTCTCCTAACCTCGTGATCTGCCTGCCTCGGCCTCCCAAAGTGCTGGGATTACAGGCTCATGTACACACATTTTTAAATGCAGGTTACATGGTATACATATGTACAATTCTTATTTGTTAGTATTCAGGTTCTAGAAACCCAATTTCCTAGGGAACCAAGCTGACACTGGAGCAGTAGTGGATGTTCAGTCTCCCAAGACAGGAGCAGTGGTAAATGAACACAAAATAAAGAACACGCATTGCTACACTAGGCAGAAGAAACGAAGTCTTATTGTTATCATGGCTGTATTCATCAAGTAATTGTCACAAAAGTCACAAGGATGTTTAAGTCAAACACGAAGATTGTTTTGCTCTGGTACTGCAGAAAACTTCCAATGTGACAGGGATAGAAGAGGCTTCAGAAGAAAAAATGTTCCTGTGGATGAAGCTTCAGACCTTGCAGATGCCAGATGCCAGAATGCATGCAGGGGAACAGGCCTGTTCCTTGCCCATGCCCAAAGCTTCTGTATGTGGGCAGCAACCTCCCAGGCCCCAAAGAAAACTGCATGTCCCAGCCCTGAAGGCCGAGGCTAAGACACCCAGTGCTTGCCTTAGAGCGGTGAGCTGGCTCTGAAGACTCCTAGAGTCCAGAGGACCACGATTGCTTCCACCACCCACATTTACAGTCACTGTGTCTTAGGGGTGAATCTGTGGTCTCTTTCTACCCAAAGGACAGCTGAGGTCCAAATCTACTTGTTTCCCACGGGGAGCGGGGAGCGGGGAGCAAAGAGAGGCCTCTGTTAAGGGTCTCCAGATGCTGCAAGGAGAGAGAAGGATGAGGTTTGTGAACAGGAAGGAGGTGACTGTGCCACGCTGTGGCTAAGCTGCTGGCACAGAGATACACGGCCGAGTCCCCCTGCTCTGTTCGCTGGATCTTCAGAGTGGAGACGGATCCCTCAGTCCTCTCTGCAGAGAACCGACCACTGGGCAGCCCTGATTTGTCTGGTGCATCGTTGCCTTGGAAGTAAATTAAAAACTCCAGGCCCTTCCCCAGGCTCTGTCGGTACCAATAAAGGGCGGTATGACCTGAAATTGGATCACACCTGAGCACTACATCCTTTCCCTCCTCTGTGACCTTGTTCCTGGGGGACTGGGAAACTCCAGCACCTGTGTGATCTGTGGAGGCACAAGTTAGGAACAGAACAAGGGAAACAATTTTAGTCATCACACGAATCCCATCCCTCCACACACACACATACAAACACCCCCCGGCACACACACACACACACCCACACACACAATGAGGCTGGTTGGTGTCTGAGGACTCACCTGCCCCCAGGAGGCACAGGGTTGCCCAGCAGAGGAGCCTGGTGCCCATGGCAGAGTCAGGGCAGGATGGGAGCTTTACCAGATCAGGGTCATTGTGAGCAGGAGCAGAGGAGGAGGGACGTCCCTGTCCCTACATGGAAGTTCCCACCGTGACATCACTTCCTCTCCCAATCTGCATGACCTCAGGAACACAGGATTTATATTAGAACACACTTGGATGACTACTTTAAATATTTATACGCTCCTTGTAAACAACGTTATTTGCATGGGACATCGCTTTGGGCTCCTGTACTGTCTGGACCGAGAGGCTTCATGCTACGTCTCCGAGTTCACCTTCTCATCCCACAGCGCCTCCTCTGTCTGCTGGGCACGTTCTGTAGGATGTGCCAACAGCAACCCCAACACGAGGCACCAAAGGGTGAGCTCATTGCCTTTCCTGCAAGTCGGGGTCCCCCCTGCCATCCCCATTCATGCCGCAGCCTCCTCCATCCCCCCAGTCACACGTGCCCAACGGGACTGCCCCATCACATGGGTTTCCTCACAAACTGCCCTCATGCCTTTCTTCTGGGATCATTTTCCACCCTCGTTAACTATAATTCAGAAAAGATACCTTGGGGGCAAACTCACAGAATTTTTTTGGTGTTCCATATTTTCTTTTCCTGTCCTATAGATTTTTTTAAATCAATCTGAATCTTCAATAACTGAGGACTACAATTCTGATTTAACGGTTAGTTTTAATTCTCTTTCTTGACTTTAACTATTTCTCTCATTCTATTCCACTGAAAGATATTTATCTCTCCCTTTTGACTGCTGTTAAAATCTTCTCTTTGTCATTTGTGGTCTGCAATTTCACTGGGACCTACCTATTCGTCTTGCAATTCATCCGAATTCTTGAACAAGAATTTCGGTCTCAAACATCTCAGGAACATTCTCAGCTAACATCATATACACAGTCATCTCAGGCCATTTGCCCTATTTTCTCTTTCTGAAACTTCAATTATATATAAGAAAAAAATAAAAATTTCAATAAAACATTATATACTTTCTGATATTCTAGACACTTCATTTTTTCCTTGTTCCTTCACTTTTTTATATTTTACATTTAATTTTCTGTGCTTCATTCTAGGTGATTTCTTGAGATCCATCTTTGATATTGCTACTAATCTCTTTAGAAGCATTGAATCTGCTGTTTAGCTTCCATTTGGTTTTCTGGAGTAATCATAATGTTTTCTAGACATTCTATTTGATTATTTCTTTAATGTTTTTTGATGGTTTGGGGCAGCCTCTTTTTTCGTGTCCTCATTTCAGTTCCTTCTTGTATTCATTTAAATGTAGCTCTTCAAACATTCACATCTTATGATGGCAGAATTTTAAATCTTCAAGATGTTCATTTTAATAGTTTATTGCTTCTGCTCACTGTTCCTCCTCGGTTTTTGTTTTAATATTTTTAATAGTGGGAGTGAATTGGTCTGATGTTAATCTGTGAAATTCAGGGAGAGGCCAGGGTTGAGAATGCAGAACGTCAAGACTCCATAGCTCTTCAACTGTCTCCGGTCTCACCCCCAAATGCATGGGGTCAGGAACTGTCTGCTGCACTCTGAGCTGCGAAATACCCCCGTAGATTAGATTCCTCACATCACAGCCTGCTCTGAGGACAGCCCCAATGTAGGTTCCAGAAGAGAATTCTGATTTTCTGTTTCTTTTTTATTATGCTTCCTCCAAAAAACAGAGCCTGTAAGGCTGTATATGCATGAGGTTTTGTTTTCTTTGTTGTTGTTGTGGTTGTTTGTTTTTGTTTTTCCTGTTCTTCCAAGGAAACCAAAGTCCTAGCATCAAGGACTTGTTCCACCATTAGCCAACTTAAGACAATTACGGGACAAAAGTAGTTCACTATTTAGGTCCAACTTTTACAAAGGAAAATGAATATTTTTTTATTTGAAATCATATGCTCTCCTTTGAGTAGAATAAGAGGTCACATTAATCATGAATTAAATCTGCTGGCTAGATCACCCCTCCAGACCTTCTCTTCCTCAGCTCCCCCTACATTTATATAAGGTCTAACTCCTGTCATACATCCTCCTCTCCATAGTACTCTTAGTGGCTCTGTTTAATTGATGTAAACCTAATGGAGTTTTTGGTACCAGAAGTGGTTCCAAAATCACAAACCTGTGTGCATGAGTTTCTGGAAATGGATCTCCGATCTGTCTAGAGTTGTTGTGGGGAAAGAGTCCGAAGCAGAGCATAGAGACCTGGAGGAGGTCTGGTGCTGCAGACACAGGAGGAATCTTACCCATGATAGCGACTCCCCATTAATTTCAGGGACCTACCCTAGCCCAGCAATCAAAGGGGTAAGATTTCTTGTAGTTAATACCAGATCTCTGCCAGGGTAAAATGGATCTAGGGTGCTCCTGTTATTCGTTGATCCATCCACCCATCATTCACTGCGTCATTGACTCATCCATTCTCTTTGAAATGGGTCTCCCCTCTGTGCCAGGCACTGCTGTTGGGATATAAAGCAGACATAGCTTTGGCCTTCATGGGGTTTAAAGTATCTGGAAGATTCCAATTGTGCTAAATTCTACTGACTAACAGACACATGATAGCATGAGAGATTATTAAAGGGAAACTGACCTCAGCTGGGAGCCGAGGGAAGCATAGTGGTGATTATCACCAGGGCTGATCATGCTGAGATCTGAAGCACAGGTAGGTGTTGACCACTACAGAAAGGAAGTTTCCAGCCCAGGGCACAGGAAATGGACTTTGGAGTCTCTCAACATGGCAAGAGTAGAGAAGGGCAGGGAGGTCGGGGAGGAGAAACCCAGCAAGGTACTGGAGGGCGACTGTGAATATAGGAAATGCAGGCTGTGGCTAAGACAACTTTAGGGTTCAATATGAGGAAAAATCATAGAGAGGAAAGCATCTGGTACCGAGGTAGAGATGGGAGTCTAGATGGATCTGAAATACAAATCCTATTTCACCTACGAGGCCTCAGACTCAGGTGAATGACTAGGAAAGTCAGAGCTGGGAAACCTCTGGCCCCAGCCCAAAAGGACAGCTCAGAGGAAAGACTAGAGGGGGACAAAGAAGACATCTGAGGCCCTGAGACCAGTCCTGGCCTGGGTGAGACCGACTGCAGAGGCACCTGGCACAGACCAAGGCTCCCACTGGCCAGGCACAGTGGGGATCCAAAGTTTCCGGTGCTAGGACCAAGGGCATAGCTGAGTCTGGGGTGAGGAGGAGGGCAGAGCCTCTCCTGCCTTTATGTGCAGAGAGGAGATGGCCGTGCAGCACTGTGGCTTCACTGCTGGCACAGAAGTACATAGATGTCTGGGAGGGAGCAGCCGACTCCAGCCTGAGCAGGAAATTCTGTGGGTTTAATCTGGAGGCATTGTAGCCATCGGGGACTTCTCCTTTCTCAGTGCTACCTTCACCAGCTGAGTAATGAATCAGCCTCAGCCCCATGCCTGGGTCTTGTCGATACCAGTACATGTAGTTATGGTTCATATCCTGGGCACACTTCAGTGTCATGTTCTGTCCTGTCTTCAGGATCTGGAATTTTGGGGTCTGAGTGACACCAGCATTCACTGGACCTGCAGAGAAGCACAAAACTGATGCTGCAGCCCCAGTGGGAAGGCGCTGGGCCTTGAAATCTATGCAAGGGGCCCTGCCCAGGACCCACCTGGCCACAGGAGAGAAAAGGCCACACAGCATAGGAGCTTGATGCTCATGGCAGGTGCTACAAGATAGAGGGGTCTTCTGGGTCTGTGCATTGGTGAAAGGGGAACAGGTCTTTCAGGGCGTCATTCTGAGACCTCATTCTCCCTCCCTGGGCCCCAGAGCCTTCCTGTCAGGAGAGGCCACGCCCCTTCCCCAGATGGTCAAATTCAAGATAAATTCACCAGTGAAGAGTTTGGATGGGAAGAATGCCTTTGTCTGAATTCATGCAAGTCTACCATTTTTTTAAAGATCTTTTGGTAATTAGTTTGTAGCTCAATGTATATTTTTTATTCCCATGATGATGTAATTACTTGGCTGTGCACGCTGACCCATGCCTGTAATCCTAGCCCTTTGGGAGGCTGAAGAGAGCAGATCACTTGAGGCCAGGAGTTGGACACCAGCCTGACCAACATGGTGAAATCCCATCTGTACTAAAAATACAGAAATTATCCAGGCATCCTGACGTGCACCTGTAGTCACAGCTACTCGGGAGTCGGAGGCACCAGAATTGCTTGAACCAGGGAGACAGAGGTTGCAGTGAGCCGAGATCATGTCACAGCACTCCAGCCTGGGTGATAGAGTGAGACTCCATTTCAGAATAATAATAATAATAATTACTCATTAATACACTGATATTGGTTATCTAAGCATTACTATAGCCTAGAATCTTAGAAAAACTCCTCATGTCTTCCCGGTGTTTTTGACTCCCGTGTCCCAAATACTCCTTCAAGTATCCTTTTCTAATCTGCTTAATTGACCATAATCCTGTTCAAAATCCTTTGTCTATATTGATTTTCTCTGTTATTAGCTTTCCAAATCCCAGGGGCAGGCTCATCAACATTGGAGTTGTCACTTTGTTCTGTTTCTTGTCAATTCACTGACAGATGGGCCTTCTGACAAAACCAGCTGAGCACCTTCAGCTCCACCCAGGGCTGTTGTTTCTGTGCCTGGGGTTAGATCGCAGCAGGCAGAACCACCTCACGATGCTGACTGCCCTCTCTATGTGGATGATGGCAGCTGCCCATGATCTACAGGCACAAAGGTGTCTTGATGTGTAAGCGACTTGGAGAGACAAGGCTGACTTTAGGGTAAGGAAGAATGTTCTGGATGTATTGCTGCCATTAATTTAGTAATAAATACAAAGGAACCAACTCAAATACCCATCAATCAATGAGTGGATAAAGAAACTGTGAGATATATATATATGAAATAGATATAATATATATGAAATAGATATAATATATATGAAATAGATATTATATATATATGTTTCAGGGACTTACCCAAGCCCAGCAATCAAAGGGGTAAGATTTCTTGTAGTTAATGCCAGATCTCTGCCAGGGTAAAATGGATCTAGGACGCTCCTGCTATTGGTTCATCCATCCACCCATCATTCACTGCGTCATTGACTCATCCATTCTCTTTGAAATGGGTCTCCCCCTGTGCCAGGCAATGCTGTTGGGATATAAAGCAGACATAGCTTTGGCCTTCATGGGGTTTAAAGTATCTGGAAGATTCCAATTGTGCTAAATTCTACTGACTAACAGACACATGATAGCATGAGAGATTATTAAAGGGAAACTGACCTCAGCTGGGAGCCGAGGGAAGCATAGTGGTGATTATCACCAGGGCTGATCATGCTGAGATCTGAAGCACAGGTAGGTGTTGACCACTACAGAAAGGAAGTCTCCAGCCCAGGGCACAGGAAGTGGACTTTGGAGTCTCTCAACATGGCAAGAGTAGAGAAGGGCAGGGAGGTCGGGGAGGAGAAACCCAGCAAGGTATTGGAGGGCGACTGTGAATATAGGAAATGCAGGCTGTGGCTAAGACAACTTTAGGGTTCAATATGAGGAAAAATCATAGAGAGGAAAGCATCTGGTACCGAGGATGGGAGTCTAGATGGATCTGAAATACAAATGCTATTTCACCTACGAGGCCTCAGACTCAGGTGAATGACTAGGAAAGTCAGAGCTGGGAAACCCCTGGCCCCAGCCCGAAAGGACAGCTCAGAGGAAAGACCAGAGGGGGACAAAGAAGTCATCTGAGGCGCTGGGACCAGTCCAGTCCAGGCTGGGCTAAGACCGACTGCAGAGGCACCTGGCACAGACCAAGACTGGCATTGCCCAGGCCCACTGAGGCTCCAAAGTTTCTGGTGCTAGGACCAAGGGCATTGCTGAGTCTGGGGTGGGGATGAGGGCAGAGCCTCCCCTGCCTTTATGTGCAGAGAGGAGACGGCCGTGCAGCACTGTGGCTTCACTGCTGGCACAGAAGTACATAGATGTCTGGGAGGGAGCAGCCGACTCCAGCCTGAGCAGGAAATCCTTTTTGTTTAATCTGGAGGCATTGTAGCCATTGGGGACTTCTCCTTTCTCAGTGCTACCTTCACCAGCTGACTAATGAATCAGCCTCAGTCCCATGCCTGGGTCTTGTCGATACCAGTACATGTAGTCATGGTTCATATCCTGGGCACACTTCAGTGTCATGCTCTGTCCTGTCTTCAGGACTTGGAATTTTGGGGTCTGAGTGACACCAGCATTCACTGGACCTGTAGAGAAGAACAAAACTGATGCTGCAGCCTCAGTGGGAAGGCGCTGGGCCTTGAAATCCATGCAAGGGGCTCTGCCCAGGACTCACCTGGCCACAGGAGAGAAAAGGCCACACAGCACATGAGCCTGATGCTCATGGCAGGTGCTACAAGATAGAGGGGTCTTCTGGGTCTGTGCATTGATGAAAGGGGAACAGGTCTTTCAAGGGCATCATTCTGAGACTTCATACTCCCTGCCTGGGCCCCAGAGCCTTCCTGTCAGGAGTGGCCACGCCCCTTCCCCAGATGGTCAAATTCAAGATAAATTCACCAGTGAGGAGTTTGGATGGGAAGAATGCCTTTGTCTGAATTGGTGCAAGTGTACCATTTTTTTTTTTAGATCTTTTGGTAATTAGTTTGTAACTCAAAGTATATTTTATATTCCCATGATGGTATAATTACTTGGCTGTGCACAGTGGCCCACGCCTGTGATCCTAGCCCTTTGGGAGGCTGAAGAGAGCAGATCACTTGAGGTCAGGAGTTGGAGACCAACAGGGCGAAATCCCATCCGTACTAAAATACAGAAATTATCGAGGCATCCTGACGTCACCTGTACTCACAGCTACTCAGGAGTCTGAGACACCAGAATCACTTGAACCAGGGAGGCAGTGGTTGCAGTGAGCTGAGATCGTGCCACTGCACTCCAGCCTGGATGACAGAGTGAGACTCCATCTCAAAATCATAACAATCATAATAATAACTCATTAATACACTGATATTGGTTATCTAAGTATTGCTATAGTCTAGAATCTTAGAACACCTCCTCATGTCTTCCTGGTGTTTTTGACTCCTGTGTCCCAAATACTCCTTCAAGTACCCTTTTCTAATTTGCTTAATTGACCTTAATCCTGTTTAAAATCCTTTGTCTATATGGGTTTTCTCTGTTAGCGAGTTTCCAAATCCTAGGGGCAGGCTCATCAACATTGGAGGAGTCATTTTGTTCTGTTTCTTGTCAATTCACTGACAGATGTGACTCCTGACAAACCCAGCTGAGCAGCCTCAGCTCAACCCAGGGCTCTTGTTTCTGTGCCTGGGGTTAGACCGCAGCAGACAGAGCCACCTCACACTGCTGACTGCCCTCACTGTGTGGACGATGGTGGCTGCCCAGCACTGCCCATGATCTATGGGCACAAAGGTGTCCTGATGTATAAGGTACTTGGGGGGACAGGGCAAGACTTTAAGGTAAGGAAGAATGTACCTGCCATTAATTTAGTAATAAATAAAAAGGAACCAGCCCAAATGCCCATCAATCAACGAGTGGATAAAGAAACTGTGATATATATAATATAAAATATATATAATATAAAAAAGATATATATCTATATAAAAAATTAAATTCTCTGCAGCCATAAAAAGGAATGAATTAACAGCATTTGGAGTGACCTACCTGGATGAGATGGGAGACTATCAGTGAAGTAACTCAGAAATGTAAAACCAAACATCGTGTGTTCTCACTGATATCTGGGAGCAAAACTATGAGGACACAAAGGCATAAGAATGACACAATGGACTTTGGGGACTTCAGGGGGAAGAGCGGGAGGGGGTGAGGGATAAAAGACACAATATGGTGCAGTGTATGCTGCTCGGGTGGTGGGTACACCAAAATCTTGCAAATCATCACTCAAGAACTTACTCATGTAACCAAATGCCACCTGTACCCCAATAACATCTGGAAAAATAAAAATTAAATTCAAATGTAAAAAGAAAAATATTCTCTCATGGCCTGCAGCCATGAACATGGAGTGTTTTTGGTTTTTGTTTTTGTTTTAAAAAAGGAGCTCCAAAACTGTACCTTTGATGTACACAGCCCCACATTTGGAAGGACCCTGCACTTAGTTTTAAACTCTGCTGTCATGATCTTCAAATTCTCAACAGTGTTTGGACAAAGACCTGCCAGTAAGTTTTGTCACTGGTTGCAAATACATTATTTTGTTTCATATTCTGCTTACCTCCCCATGTGCTTGTTTCCTTTCAGCACAAGAGCACAACAAGGGTCTGGGTCACTCAGCATCTACGGAACTTAAGAATAAAGAAAACAGAAATTAAAGTCACAGCAAAGGACCACCTGGTACTGAAAGTCACAGCTGGAATCAAACAAGCCCATGAATAGGTTCCATATCTGTGCCCAGGACTCTGGTTCAGGAGACAGAGAAACACACAGCACAGTGGCCTGGTGCCCAGGGCAGGGCCAGAACAGGAAGATCGATTTTAGCTCAAGGCTCAGGTTTTACGGGTTGGACACTTGGGGTCAAGTCAAAGAGAACTGTTCTCTCAATAAGACATCATCTG